CCCTTATGCAACTTCACTTCGGCAGTGTTCCAGTCCTTGTTATATTCTCTCGCAGCCAGTTGCAGCTCGCGAAAATCATTGAAACCCATATCTCGCCTTTTCAAGAACCTAAAAACAATTAATGGTCAGCAAAATTGTTTAGACTGCAAGGACGCGCTTTTAGATCCCTATGGCGAGCATGGAGGCATGTAAGAAGCATTTGTGTCCGCTCCACCTTCTTTAAATAGAGATGGTGCAGTCCTTTCGAAACGTTAGAGAAGAAGAAACGCCCTTATGATTGAGAAAAAATCAAAAACTCTTCTTCCTCTCTCGTCTCTTCGTCGCGAAACTTGACCGACATGGCTGTGACATCTTACAATGATAGATGTGCTAGAGGTTGCGTTGGGGGAGGAAATACAGTGGAACACAGGAGGGAAGAGTTTTAGACTCCTCGCAGACACTTGGGAATTAATACGCTGTTTTTCATGTAGCGGATTAATATCCCATGTTGTTTTAGATGAATCAGAATCAAATGGTTGGATTCGCAAGTGAGAGACAGTTTTCTAAAGTGATGATGAAATTTCCTTTGAGGCATAGTTGAAGAACATTTGATAGAAGAAAAAGACGACAACATTATAGGTGAATATTGGAATACTGAAAACGAAACAGACTTTAGTGGATCTTCTACTTCAATCCAACTAGAGAATACATCTGGCTCTTCTTGTTCACTAGAGATTACCATAAAGACTCTCATCTGTGGTAAAATTACTTTTGTTTCTTATTTAATGCTGATTAATTTTGTTATTTGTATTAGTTAATTTTTGCTAGAACCCAAGAGCATAGAGAAATTTTAGCAGATCCTCCAAATTTCTATGTAGGTCCTTCAAATTCCTCTAGATCTGTGAGTTTATTGTTGCCCATGATCAACTATTCCTTAATCTTCAACAGATAGATCAATGGCCCAGCATCATGGTAGCGGACAAGGTAGATAGGACAAATGTAGTCATAAAGGAGGGTTTGAGACTTGGCGTTGAAGACAAGACGAGGCCGGAGTGGAGTTTGGTGAATATATATATATATATATAACACTTTAATTTCATAAAAACATAAATACAACTCTATATTAGTCCCACAATAGCAACATATTTTTCTATAATAGCGGCATACTGTTCTAGAATTTAAACAAACATAAGAAAATTAGTGTCACCATAAGTATTTAGACCATTACAAATTAAAACTAAAAACTAACAAATAAAAGTAATAAAAAAAGATATTATATGAGTTTAGGTTTGAGTTTAGGTTTTATATAGAATAAGAGAAGATATTATGGGGGAAGATATATAATAAAAATATAGATTATTTGTATACGGTCCGAATCGATTCCAATTCGGAACTGTGGAGTTCAATCCAGAACTAATCCGTGGACTACGGATTTTTAATTCTTCAATCCGGAACCGAACCACGGATTCAAAAAATCAATCTAAACCTATTGGATTGGACAGGACTTGATCGAATTACGGATTTCACGAATTCTTTGCTCAACCTTATCTAAAATCATGAGGGACAATTCGTATTTTAAAAAAACTTCATGGAGTGTATTTGTAACTTATCCAAAAACAATTATAAATATCTTATTTTTTAAGTATATTTAAATTAGATATATTTAAAATAAAAAAAAAAACAAACAAACAACTAACATATTTTAAAAAAATCAATAAAAATGAATAATTTAAAATCAAAAATTAAAAAAAAAATGCTTTTGAAAATTCAATCACTCAAAGGGGATTCCTTTGACCAATCAGACGTGTCTAGAAAAATCAAAAAAGAAAAGTAATGATGTAAATATGTCTTTATCTTTTGAATATTCTTCAAATAAATTTCTTTAGAATAAATTTTTTTTATAGGCAGAAAATCATCATCAATTTTAGGCTAAGTCAGCAAACAGAAACTTTTAAGTGATCAAATATATACACGATTTTTTTTAAAGTTCCTAATATTATAAATGTAAGAGATAAAAGAGACACAAAACTTTTATACTAGCTAAAGTCCTTCAAATACATGCGTCTTTTGCATCCAAAATTATTATACCAAAATACCCTTTTGTTTTACATCAACGTTAATGTCTTTTACTTTTTGAAATTTCTGAAAACTTAAAAATTTTATAACTCTTGATTTAAATGTCAATTTTCAACAAAAATTATATTTTTGGAATGCTCTCGTCGAGAATTATCAAACAAGATCTATGATGAATATAAAATTTTGGAGAAAGAAGTTGACAAAATTTTACTGAGTTGGCTATCTTCAGTCAATGAAATTTTTCAGACTTTTAATTAGAGAAATTTTATTGATTTATAGTAATTTCAGGGAAACTTATTAACTTCAATGAATTTTTTTTACTAAGTCAGTGAAATTTCACCATCATTACTATAGGTTAGGGATGTAATTGGTTCCGAACGGTCGGTGTTTAGGTGAAATTTTACACCGAACCAATAATGTTGGTTTTATTGTATTGAAAATCAATACAGACCAAATTTTTTATCAAACTGCACCAAACCACACTGATTCAAACGGTTCGGCTCAATGCGGTTTAATCGGTTTAAGTACTTTAAAATTGAGTTATTTCTTAAATTTGTAGTATAATAAATAATTTATATAAAAATATTAAATTAGCCATTTGTACACAATTTTAACCATATATAATCCAACCATTCACAAAAATACAAACAAAAAAAATTAATAAATACTAAAGCTTAAAACTTTTACTGAATTAGAATTCGAAGCAAAACATAAACTAAGAAACAAATTAATAAATACTAAGGCAGTGTTATTCATTATGTGTTTAATATATATTATATGTAAATATATTTGGTCGGTTTCAGTGTAAATCGGTATATAGTATATCAAAATCGGTACCAAATCGAAAATCGAAAAAAATTAATTTCCAAAACCAAACAGACCGATTCATATTAAAAAACCGACCAAATATGACCGATTCGATCCGATTCAATCGGTTTAGTCGATTTTTCTTACCTCTCTAGTATAGGTCAGTGAAAATTCACTGACTTTAGGGAAAATTTCCTGATTAAGTCAAAGAAACCCTAAATTTCACTGAGAGTAAAGAAAGGAAGAAAGATATACTGAGGAATGGAGAGAGGGTAAAAAGAAAGAAAGAGATGAGACACGCATCAATGAAATTTGAGACAAATTTTAGACAAATTTCTAATTCAGAGAAATTTCAAAATTCCATAGAGAAAATTCAAAAACATTTTTATTCACAGATAAATTTCTCTAGTATGAAATACAATCCAAAATTTCCATACATTTCACAAGCATGTGTACCGAAATGTACAACCCTAAGCTCAAAAAGTCAATAAACCCATTTTCTTCTTTACCATTTGGTGCACCAATCAAAACCTAGATCCCAAGAGTAATGAACTTCTTGAATAACAATATAACCCAAGAGCATAGAGAAATTTTAGCAGATCCTCCAAATTTCTATGTAGGTCCTTCAAATTCCTCTAGATCTGTGAGTTTATTGTTGCCCATGATCAACTATTCCTTAATCTTCAACAGATAGATCAATGACCCAGCATCATGGCAGCGGACAAGGTAGATAGGACAAATGTAGTCATAAAGGAGGGTTTGAGACTTGGCGTTGAAGACAAGGACGAGGCCGGAGTGGGAGTTGGCGACAGTAAAGCTGTCGTTAGACTAGAAGGAGAAGGAAGTGGAGGTGGCAGTGTTGAAGAATGAAATGATAGTGGAGTTGGGTCCTAGGGTTTGGGAAAAAAAGATTGTGACAGTGACAAAGCAGAAGAAGAATAGCAGTTGTAGATCTGAAAGAGAGAGATTGAATTTGTAGAGAGAGAAGAGTGAAGAGAAAGGGTAAAGTTTGTATTTTTTTTTTTGAATAAAATAGAAGTAAAGGATGTGAGGGACCTTATCTAACATTAAAAAAAAAAAAAAAAAGCAAACCTTTTGAACACTGCAGTGATAAAAACGAAGAGGAAGGAATTCCTCGGGTTTTGCAAAATTTTGATCGTTTTGTAGCCAAAGTTAGAGAGGGATGTTAGATTAATTTTCCTTATATATATATATATATATATGCACCTAATTTATATGTTTGTAAGAAGTATAAATAAATTGATTTAAATATAAAATAATAAATAATAAAAACTTGCCTAAAAACATATATTTTGTTCAGATTTTCTTTTATTTTTAACAATTTTTTCTTCATATGTTAGTCTTTTTTTTAAAAAAATATATTATATTTAAAATATAAAAATTTGACTGAAATATAAAAAAAAAATTATTAAAGACAAAAGAATAATAAATTTTACAAAATTAAAGCAAACAAATTTATTAATGTGTTTCGAATTTTTAAGAAAACTTTTTACTTGCTTAATTTGTTTGCAAAAACTTTTTTATTTTTGGTCCGATCAAGAAAGGGGAACGTTTCCACAAACAAACAAAAGTGATGATACCACGCACAATGATGAATCAATAGAAGGGGCGTGAGGTGAGGTGGGACAGCATCCTAAAAGCCTTATCAGCATCCTAAAAGCCTTATATTATAGGTGTGTTTTCAAAAGTAAGTTAAAAAGTTTTTTTTTTTTTAAAGGTTGCTTTAAGTAAAGGTATAAAAAAAGTAAAGAGATTATATGATTCAAAAAGTCAAAAAATTAAAAAATTAACTTTTAATCAACTTGTCAAAATAGGCCGTAATAATCTCGTTCTTAAAATATATTAGTTTCTTATTTTTATTTTTTATTATTTTAAAATATTAATTATTTTTAAAAAATTAAAAATTAAAATAATATAAATTTTTTATTTTATCCTTTTAAATTTATACACAAAAAATATAATTATGATAATTAATATTTTTATAAAAAAAATCAAAAGATAATTTTAAAAAGTTAATATTCCCCCAAAAAAATGTGTGGTGTGGATTAGCATGACTCCTATCCTAAAAAATTCTATAAAAGGAGAACTTTAGGTAGGCAATGTACTCCTCAATTGAAAACTATTCTTTTTTTTCATTCAAAAAAGCATATATTATAATTGTTGAAGCAAGAAATAATGTTGTTATTACATGTCTTATCTTTCTACTTTTTTCCATTGTTCCTCTTGCTACTCTTCCTCTTCCTATGCTTTTCCCTTATTACTACTACTCCAACAGACCACAAAAGCTTGCCACCACCTTCTCCTCCAAAGCTCCCAATTGTTGGGAATCTCCACCAACTGGGCTTGTTCCCTCACCGCACTCTTCGATCACTGGCTCAAAAATATGGACCCCTTATGCAACTTCACTTCGGCAGTGTTCCAGTCCTTGTTGTCTCCTCAGCCGTTGCAGCTCGCGAAATCATGAAAACCCATGATCTCGCCTTTTCAAGCAGACCTAAAACAATTAATGGGAGCAAAATTGTTTATGACTGCAAGGACGTCGCTTTTAGTCCCTATGGCGAGCATTGGAGGCAGGTAAGAAGCATTTGTGTCGTCCACCTTCTTAGTAATAGGATGGTGCAGTCCTTTCGAAACGTTAGAGAAGAAGAAACCGCCCTTATGATTGAAAAAATCAAAAACTCTTCTTCCTCTTCTTCGTCTTCGTCGGTAAACTTGACCGACATGTTTGTGACACTTACAAATGATATAGTGTGTAGGGTTGCGTTGGGGAGGAAATACAGTGGAACGACAGGAGGGAAGAGTTTTAAGGAACTCCTCGCGACACTTGGGGAATTGATAGGTGTTTTCAATGTAGGGGATTATATCCCATGGCTTGTTTGGATGAATCGAATCAATGGTTTGGATGCCAAAGTGGAGAAGTTTTCTAAAGTGATGGATGAATTTCTTGAGGGAGTAGTTGAAGAACATGTTGATAGAAGAAAAAGAGACAACAGTTATAGTGTGAATATTGGAAATGAAAACAAACATGACTTTGTGGATCTTCTACTTCAAATCCAACTAGAGAATACATCTGGCTCTCTTGTTCATAGAGATACCATCAAAGCTCTCATCTTGGTAAAATTACTTTTTGTTTTCTTATTTAATGCTGATTAATTCTTGTTTATTTGTATTAGTTAATTTTTGCAGTACTGCTAGCAATTAGTGTACCAACACATATTATAGTATTGCAAATTTAAAATTATGGACCTTATTCATTATATAAATTATAAAAATTCAAAGCTAATAAAATTATATCACATCATCTGTTAATACACTAATTGATATGCCAATTGACCCGTATAACTTTATTATAATTTTTAAAACACAATTTAGGGATTTAACGATGATAAGTAAACAGGTTGTTGGACATCGAGAAGGGCATGATGATAATCTGCCCTACTTTGTATCATTGTCTGTCCTACACTCTTCTAGTCGTTAATTTTGGTAACATAATTATATGTAATAGATATACAACAATACTATAAAATTTAGTAAACATAACATTGCTTTAACTTTAAATCTACACATTTTTTAAAAATAAAATTCAAAATAAATTTTTATGATTCATAATATTTTTCATAAATATAAGATAAAACATATAAGGGAAAAGTTAGGGATCATGAAAATTTTGTCATGAAAATGATCATGAAAAATTTATGATCCTTGGATTACCTTGATTAGTGTGTGGTGTTTTATTCTAAGTGTAATCCAAGGGTCACAAAACTTTCATGATTATTTTCATGACAAAATTTTCATGATACCTAGCATTACTGAACATATAAACACTACAAAAAAATTAGGGTTTTAGAAATCAAAATTTAGGGACAAAATTATTTTTTAGGGACCAAACAATTATATTGCAAAAAGTGTTGTTATTATATTTTTAGCAATAAAAATTAGACATTAGTGATGAATTGTTATTCTTTTGGGACAAAATTTTTTGTCTCAAAAAATAAACTATTTTGAGACCAAATTATTTTGTTCCTAAAAATCTATTTATTAGTGATATTTTCAAAATTTTATCATTAAAAGTTTTGTTTTTGACTTTTCGAAAAGACCTCTTAGCGACTATCCTCATGACGATAGAAATTAATTTCTAGATATCTTTGGTAATAAAATTTTTATTTTTAGAGATTAAAATATTTAATTTCTAAAACTCTTATAAGTTATAGGGAGAGTAGGGTAGCTGATGTGTGTTCTTGGAGAAAGGTCTCAATTTTATTACTTTTGTGGGATTTATTTCTTGGACGGTTCTTCTTTAATCTCCTGATTTTAAATTCTTTTAACCACATTTCAACTCTATGGTTGATTTAAAATTTCCAATTACAAAAGTCATTCTTATGCTCATGAAAGTGCTGACATCCATCTAAACGGCGGATTTGTCATCCCCCATCACGCTCGTTTTCAAACTCCACCTTCGCTTCTGCTCCAACCCCATTATGGGTAAAGCTTTCTAATTTCATCCCTGCCTTTGTGGTATCTGATACTCACGAATATTCAACCATATTTTAAATAGTTAAAAAAATTGTGAATTATTTAAATTCTTAACACATTACATAATTTATCTTATTTTTATATATATTATTTATTTATATTTAAATAGAATTAGACTTTTAGTATTCATTTCTTATATTTAATTATATTATATTATATATATATATATATATATTATTATTAATTATATCGGGTTAGATTTTGATCAGGAGAGGTAGGCGATACTCGCCCCCGCTCTTACCCTATCCCTATTGCAAGCAACCAAAATATAATCGGCGATACTCGCCCCCGCTCTTACCCTATCCCTATTGCAAGCAACCAAAATATAATCGTTTCCCACCCCACATAAGTGTCGAATCAGGTAAAATCCGTTCCATTCGGATAGATATGAGTGAACTCTCATAGATAGAATTAAAATGGTCATCCCTAATTTTAATTATTATTTTTGTCCCATAAAAGGAAAATGAAAATAGAGAAAACCTTAATCATTTCAATAAGTCAATGAATTGATTTGAAATAACTCCTGACCTACCCTATGAATTTTTGCAAATGAAACTAGATAATCAAATTATTTGGATGAGTATTTCTTTCGGTTCAAAATCTAAATTGGATGAATTGTTTGGGCATGTAGAGTCTATTATACATCTTGTTTCAATGATCTAAATCGTTTATTTTATTAGGCACTTTGCATATTCACAAAAAATAAAATAAAATTAAATCGATACGATAACTACAATTTGTTCAATTTATTGTTTTTGTCATAAAAAAAATGTATGATTATTGTCTAACTTTTTTTAGTAAAAAATACAATAAATTGAACAAATTGCAATTATTGGATTAACTTAATTTTTTTTAATAAAATAACCTAACTTTTTTTTAATGAAATATACGAAGTGTTTAATAAAATGAATAATTCAAATCATTAAAATATGATCAATAATGAGCGTTATGAGCCCAAAAACTTCCTTCAAGTTCAAATTTTGGACTGAAGAAAATCTTCATTTAACAAATTTGTAGGATTCCGGTCTAGATGAAGTGATTTTAAGTTGAGAATCGACTTGCTAGGTCAATTTATTTATTTATTTATTTATTTTTTTAACTGGACAAACCTAGACGAGCACGGAATCAAACATGACACCCCTTTTTTGTTAGAGCCGCACATTACCACTTCAACACCATATTACTTTTCACACCAAACTCTTCAATTTTTTAGCCAAATTAAAATTATTTCATTATTTTAACAACTCACATTTTAACACTTATTACATCAAACTTTTTATTCTACCCTATCTTATTAAAGATTATTTTCTAGATGAAGTGATTTTAAGTTGAGAATCGACTTGCTAGGTCAATTTATTTATTTATTTATTTATTTTTTTAACTGGACAAACCTAGACGAGCACGGAATCAAACATGACACCCCTTTTTTGTTAGAGCCGCACATTACCACTTCAACACCATATTACTTTTCACACCAAACTCTTCAATTTTTTAGTCAAATTGAAATTATTTCATTATTTTAACAACTCACATTTTTACACTTATTACATCAAACTTTTTATTCTGCCCTATCTTATTAAAGATTATTTTGTTATTGTATTTGTTAGTCTTTCTTTTTTTATTAAATTGATAAGTTACCAGTCAAAAAATTCTAAAAAAAAAAAAAAAATACCGTTGATTGGTTGACTGGATGGACATCCGGTAACATACAAATAACGATGAACAGTGCCTCGCTTGTTGTAACGAGTTACTGTAGCCATCGTAAATTTTGACGAGTTGTAAGCTAATTTGATGGAGTTGATTTTTTAAAATTTTTAGTTAAAAAATGTGTTTGAAGAGCTTGATGCAAATGCTCTTATTAAATTGTAAATATATATTATTCATTTTTTTTTGATCGTCAAATGTTAGTGGTTAGATTAATACCTATGGGAGAAAATCTCCTTACTCTTAGCAAAGTACCTAATTGCTTGCACTCCCTTAATTCAACCTCTTAAGAAAAATTGAACTCATAACCTCCTTAAAACTAAGTCCTATGGAAGGTATGATGGCCAATTAAACTAGGCCTAGTTGGTTATATATTATTTATTACATTCAATTAATTTTCTTCCAAACACAAGTGTAATTATTATTATATTGTTTTTTTAGCCAACAAATATTATAAGGTGAAATTCATTTTACATGATTTTGTCTCCAAGCACTTTATTTTTTATGATTCAAATATGTGCAGAGAACCCACTTATTATTTGGACTAAAATGTTACAATCAGTTTTTCCATTAAAAGTAACAAAATGTTTGCTACATGCTCCAAAATTGATATTGGTTAATGCAAAAATCTCTAGTCAAAGATAAAAAGTGAATCAAATGTCAAAAATACCTTCATCTTCATCTTCTTCTCCAAATTAAATCCAATTTCTATCCAGATCCTGATTCTAACCATAAATGTCCTCTTCTATATCAACAATTTAATTTAACATGTTACTAAATAAGAATTTAGCTTAAAATTTTAAAGTTAGATTAAGGCATTTGTATGGTTATAAATTAGGGTGTCTAAGTTAATTTATAGTTTAACTTGTTAGATATACATATATATATATATATATACTAGCGGTTGGGCACACACGATGTGTGTGCAAATTAAATACAGAGGAATAAAAGAAAATAATAATGAAATTAATATTATAATGTGTACTTAGCTTAAGTGGTATGAGTCTTCATACTTAAACCCATGGTCAAATTATAAATTGGGTTAAAAATTAAAAATTACATTAAGTTACTTTTATGATTTAATTTTATGATAATAAACTAAGGTATTTAGTTTAATTTATAATTTAATTTGTTATATGTATGTATGTATGTATGTATGTATGTATGTATGTACGTACGTAAGTTTATGTTTATTTTAAAATGTTATTATATAAAAAATTGAAATAAAAAAAATTGGATTAAAGTAATTTGATGATTTTATTTTATAGTTATAAATTAGGGTGCTTAAGTTAATTTATGATTTTTTTTTGGTTATATATATATGTATCTATATATGTGCATGTTTTAATTTAAAATATTATTAAATAATAAATTGTATTAAAAATTAAATATCACATTAAGCTTCTTTTATGATTTAATTTTATGATAATAAATTAAGGTATTTATGTCACAACCCGCTCCCTATACTCAAGGCTTAGGCATCATGATTGGCCAATAATCGCGGTTGTCTAAGGCCTATTACATAATAATTTAATTAATAAACGAGCGTAGAAATAATTAATTAAATAAAATACCAATATATATATATATATATATCAGAGTCTCTGTTTAATTATAACAAAAGGATCATTAATCAAATAGGTCAACTTTTATAAATATTATAAAAGTGTACTGTGCATCTACTGCATGTCCCCATTTCCGAAATGAGCCATGCACACTCTCTCTAATAATTATTTCTTAAAAATTGATAAACAACTTATAAGCATATTGTAAAGTCATAAATATTATACCGAGAATATAAACATTATAAAATCACCATAACAAACATTTCAAACAAAAGACATATATACGGTACCATACGGAACACATAACCACATTCACGGGCAGCATGGATTCAAATGGTGACTTGTACGAATTTTAGGAATGACTTCGATAATAGTGTAACACGTAACTTTGTACAATACTTCATAAAATTACCAAAATAACAAACAGAGGGCAATAGCTATTTAAGCCCCAAAACATGAGACCTTTGTGGTAATACTTATAAAAATATTTGCTCAAATGATCATTTATCAAATCATTATCAAATTTATATTTTAATAAACATTTATATCGGTAAATTTTTTTTTTACATAAATATATTCAAATAACAAACAATACCTTTGATATGATAATCAAGCTTACAAAATATGATTTAACATAAAACAGGCAGACATAATTAAATATATAATAAAACTCACCTTAGTATCGGTTTCTATTGTCTAAATATCTCCCGGAACTTGAATCTCTTACAAAAATTCTCGTTGGATCTTTTCTTCCTTTTGTTATTCTTTTTTTCATTTGATTGTAATTAAGCTCCTCTTTATAGCAGGAGTAATGTTATAAAAATAAAAAATTTACACATAATTTTCATACATAATGGTATGATTTATTGTAGATTTTTTATTTCAAAAAAAATACCATTGAAAATAGATTTATTTATAATAATATCTTACCACAACATTTTTATCAAATTATTTATTTAAATTTTATGTACATTTAGAATTTTCCGTAGAAGAGGAGGTAGCCGTGGGGTGACCAGAGAAAAATTATTAGTTGGTCATAGACGCCGCGTGGTCATACCTCACTCCAATGATAATTTACTAGAGCATTGATAGAGACCCCCTCCAATCACCACCCCCACCACCCCCACACACACGTGGCGATTGGTGATTGGAGGAGAAGGAAAAGAAGAAAAATAGAAAAGAAAAACTGGCCAATGAGAAGAAAAGGGGGTCAAAGGGGTGGGAGGGAAAGGGGGTCTCAAACATTTTTGAATTTACTATACCCCTCCTGTTTCAGTCGCCCAATACAAATTTGGGATACCCTCCGCCAATCACAGTACCATTGGGGTATCATGTGATGGTGCATCAAAACCAACAAATAACTTCTCACGATAAGGGTCGAACAAGATGCCTCCATGTACTACTTAGGTGGCATTACCCTTTTGGGTATTTACACTCTAATCCTACATTTTATACTAATTCATGTTTTACCACACAAAATTACAAAATTAAATTTAATTCTTTTAATCAAGAATAGTTGATCTTTAACCCCATCATATACAAAATTATAAAATAAATTCTATTTTTTTATTTGTAATTAAATAATACGAATATGAAATTAAAGGATAATTTAATTTTGGGATTGTTATAATTTAGGTTGATTTATGATTTAATTTGTTATATATATATATTGTTAATATAATTGTTATAATTGTTAATTGAATAGCTTTAGCTTTAGTATATAAATTGTATAGCTTTAGCTTTATTCCTTTTTTTGCTAATTTGTTAGATATATATATATATATATATATATGTACGTCTTTAATTTAAAACGTTATTAAATAATAAATTAGGTTAAAAATTAAAAATTAGAATAAGGTACTTTTATGATTTAATTTTATGATAATAAATTAAGGTACTTAGGTTAATTTATGGTTTAATTATATATATATATATATATGTAGATGTTTATTTTAAAATCTTATTAAACAAGGTAATTTTTTGGTAATAAATTATGGTGTTTACTTTAATTTAGGATTTGGTTTGTTATATATATATGTCTGTTTCTGTTTATTGTAAAATGTTATTAAATAAAAAAATGAGTTAAAAATTTAAAATTTAAAATTAGATTAAAGTAATTTTATGATTGAATTTTGTGGTAATAAATTAGAGTATTTTAGTTAATTTATGGTTTAATTTGTTAGATATATATATAAATATATGTATGTATGTATGTATGTATGTATGTACGTGTTTAGCTTAAAATGTTATTAAAAAATAAATTTCGCTAAAATTTTAAATTTAGATTAAGTTACTTTTATGATTTAAGTTTATGTTAACAAATTAAGGTATTTAGTTTAATTTATGATTTAATTTGTTATGTATATGTAGTACGTAATTTGATGATTTAATTTGTTATATATATATATATATATATAATATTTATGTTTAATTCAAAATGTTATTAAATAAGAAATTGGGTGAAAATTTTAAAATTAGATTAAGTTAATTTTATGGTAACAAATTAGGGTATTTTGTTTAATTTATGATTTAATATGTTAAATATGTGGTTGAGATAGAAAATTTTATGACATAAGGGTATTTAGGTAATTTTGGCACTATTATTAGTAGAGTTAGTTTCGTACTTTAGTCAAAAATCATAAAATGATTTTTTGCCCATGTTTGAACTATAGGAGGTAAAGTAAATTGGGGAAACTACATGCAGGTAGGAGTTGAGGGAAAAAAATTACTAACACATGGATGGATGCAAGTAACACTTGCACCCTCACAACCTTTTATGTAACTATACAGATCTTGAAATTTAAAAATAATTCAAGTGACTCTATCTTAACTAGTATTTTTTTTTATTTATGAATAATATTTATTATATTTATGATATAAATATGTCGTTACAGTTCGATTCCAATTGATCTAATGGTTGAATCAGCAACCCATTAACCCAGTCTTTTCTCTGATTTGGCTAATGGTCCTAATTTTAGAACATTACACACAAGATAATAAATAATTAGCAATCCATCTTATGTTTGTAAATATTTTGAATGAATAGTTAGAATTTTCAAAGAGTTACAATTCCTAGCAATCAAATAACATGTAAAGTTGAAACTTCTTATGATCTTTCTACAATAATAATTCAGGACATGTTTGCTGCTGGAACTGATACCATATTCACAACGATGGTGTGGACAATGGCAGAGCTCTTAAAACACCCACAAATCATGAAAAAACTACAAAATGAGGTAAGAGAAGTAGCCAAAGGCAAATTAAATATAACAGAGGATGATTTAGTAAACATGCACTATTTGAAAGCAGTGATCAAAGAATCTCTAAGGATTCATCCTCCTATTCCATTGTTGTTTCCTCGAGAATCAGTCCAAGAAGCCAAGGTAATGGGCTATGACATTGTAGCTGGCAGGCAAGTGATTGTCAATGCTTGGGCAATTGCAAGAGACCCGTTTTCATGGGAAGATCCTGAGGAGTTTCGACCAGAGAGGTTCTTGAATAGTTCAATAGATTTCAAAGGACACGACTTTGAGTTTATTCCTTTTGGTGCTGGTCGGAGGGGTTGCCCTGGGACTCTATTCGCCATGAATGTTGATGAGCTTGTACTTGCAAGTGTTGTTCACAAGTTTGACTTGTCGTTACCAGATGGATCAAGTGGGGAAGATTTGGACATGACTGAAGCTGCTGGTATAACTATCCATAAAAAAAACCCTCTAATTGTTGTTCCAACTCCTTACTCTTGCTAGTGTGATAAAGTTTGCTATATATTTTGTGTTTTTTGCTTAGTTCGAGCTATATGTTGGATCAATGATTGTTAAATAAAAGAAAATAAATGTCTCGCCATACAAATTTCAATGAATTTTGTGTTTGAGAGTTGTATTAGATAGATTGCTAATTCTAGTTCTAAATAAATCAGTTTACATAAGAAGTATTTTTTCTCTTCCTTTCTGTAACTGATCACTTATATGTTCTCTTTATGTCTTTATCGAAATGCAATTGGGTTAGGTTTAGTGGATAGTTGATTAGTCTTCATTGTTGGATTTTTCTATTATGAAGTCAATCGAGTAATCATTTTCACTTTGTTGGGAAATCAAGGAAGAATTATCAACTTTCGATATTTTTACCTATTTGCCACATTATTAGAAAGTTCTAAAAGATCTTGTTCTAAAAGATCTTATTCTTGAATAAGGGAAAGAATTTGGTTCTACATCCAAAATAATTCCACTTGTTAGTTGTCAATCAAATTCTAAATTAGCATATGTGATCTTTTTCTAACTCAATTCCTTTTTTCACACTCAAAATATTAGGGGTTGTTTGGAATGTGTTAGATTAGTATACTTTCTGACATTTTAGGGGAAAAAAAAACATGAAATATGGATTGGGTTTGAAGTAATGTAGTAGAGAGATGATGTGACCCAAATAAGATAATTGTGACCCAAATAGGATAATGTGGTAAAATATCATGTGTTATTTTAGCACATGCCAAACGAGCACTTAATCTCATTGCGAGTTTAGGTATACTAAAGTTGAAGATTGCAACTTTACAAGTGAAATTGAATATTATGGAATTAATTTGTACCCATCTTAATGATCTGAACAACTCATTTCACATGACGAGTTGAGAAAAACATGCATGCAAAAATTAGGTTAATCAAGCATAAGTAATCATATATATATTATAATAAATAGACAGACTATTCTTAAAAATATAGATGTCATATAGATAGAAATGGTTTGATGGTATGATAATACTCGATGTTGGATGAACTTGCACTACCATAAATAAGACTGTTTGCGTCTATTTTTTTTGCGACTGATTGTTTGACTGTCACAAAAAATCACTTTTTACACCAAAATGTCATTTTATTTAAACCCCCAAATCGTGTTCTTAACTTTAAAAAAAAATAAAAAAATAAAACAAAACAAAACAAAACAAATCGTGTAAAACTTGCCCTATATATCCCTTATTTCCCAAATTGATTTCGCTCTCTTCGTTGAAGACTGACCTCCAATGGTATGAATTCTCTCTTTCTGTCTCTCTCTCTCTCTCTCTCTCTCTCTCTCTCTCTCAAAATCTCACTCTTCACTATGCACTCTCTCGCTCAATTCTCTCTTTGGACTCTCCATCTCAATTTTATTGTTCATTTGAAGATTTTGATCAATTGTTGATGAAGATTAGAAGATTTTAATTGATTGTTGATGAAAAGTTGAAGGTTTCAATTGATTCATAATCGGTAAGCCTAATTTCTATGAATGAATCCAACTTTCTCTCTCTATTATACCTATTAGATGTGTTTAATGATTTCAATATTCTATAGTTCTCTCCTCTTTAGTATTATGTTGAATTGCAATATTTTGTTGAATTTAATTCATTCTTGAAAACAATAGAGGTGTTTGAACCTCTTGGAACAATCTTTATCTACTCTTACTGTTTCAACTGTGATTTCATCTGTGTTGTGTTGATCCAAAATTGTTGATTCAATTGCTTGAACACAACTATGTTAGGTAGTTTCATGAACTAGGAACAGTGATGATTAAGGAAAGCTTGTAAATCTAGGCCTATATGGAAGGGCAATTGTTTGAATTGGCTTGGTTTTAAAAGTGTTTGATTGCTTGAAATTATTACTAGAATTTTTGGATGCTAGCTAGTAAGAGGTTTTCAAAACTGTTTTTATATGAATTTTTCTTTATTTTTAGTGATTTTTTTTTCATTAATATTTTAGTCATTTTTTTTTGATGCATTAAAAAATAAAATAAAAAGGGGGGTAGAGGAAAAACTGCTTGGAAAGAGGCCATTAAGTGGAGATGAAGAACATAGAGTATAGAGGAAAAATTAGAATGAGAACATAAGTTTAAAAGAGAAAAGGGGTAGTCATCAGATGTTGTTTACAACTTCAACCAACTTCTGTTTTTTACTTTTTACTTCTGTTTTTATTTTTAAGAAGTGGGGTAGGTTGGTTGTTGAAGGAATTAAGAATTAAACTTAAAAACTTTCTTGTTATGCCCATGCACCTAGAGCCTAAATTGACCACTTTCTTATTATTGTTTTTCCCAAATGTTTTTTTGGGAACTATGACAATGCTTTGCTTGTGGGGATTAGTGAACTGTATAGATATATCAAAACATCTATTACACATGTATCGTTTAACTACTGACAATGAAAACCAGTATTTATTGAGTATTTATTCAATTCTATAAAGAAACCAACAAACATTTGAGAGGGAAATCACCACCCTGCAATTGGAAGTATGTTAAAGAGTTTATAGATAATGTTTTTGTTGCAAGTTTTTGGTTTTTGATCTAATTATAAATTATTTGTTGATATAGGAAAAGAAACTTATTGCAGAGATAAAGAGAACCGCTAAAACATGAAATGAGGCACATATTTCGTACCTGTACGGTTTGTTGATCTGTAGCTGATCAATTGATTTCATATTTTTTTCATCAATAGCATATTTGGTTATTCATGATTTTGTTTTGATTTCGTTTCTCGATCTAGGTTTGTCTTCTATATATCGATTTATTGATTATAATGCTTGAAAGTAGATAGAATGGTCCTATTTAATATTTCTCTTATGATTATGTGTGCACGGATAGAATCTAATTTGATATTTGGTCATTGACATGTGATGGAACAGATTTGAAATTAATGGTATACAGTGTCTGTTTTTAATATTAAAATAAAATATGTGCGTTTTATGCACTAACACCTAAATTTTAGCATTTAACAAATAAACTGGTTTTACTGTTAGATACAACTCATGGAGAGCCAACGGATGGAAGCCAAATTGACGAGAATTTAAATGAGCCAACCATGGATGAGAAACTTGCAAGTTTAGATGTACTTGAGAATAACGAGAATTTAAATGAGCCAACCATGGGTGAGAAACTTGCAAGTTTAAATGTACTTAAGAATGACGAGGTTAAGAGCCTTGAGAAAAAAAGAAATTTCTCAGCACGTGATGCCTCCAAGTGTGGATTCTATTCATGTTTTCCTTAAGCAAACGCTACATGCCAATGATTGAGCACTAATCTTAAATTGTTTATATACCCAAGATGATAAGGTTCTTCCTTAGTCCCTTTTTCTTTGATTACATGTTTAATGATGAGAAGGTATGACTCACCTAATACTATGTTTCTGGTATTTCTTGTAGGTGATTGCAAATTCAGTCTCACTATTAAATCCATCTGATGTCATCAAACTTTCAGACTCACTGATATCTATAATCCAGTCTAGGAAAAGCACATTTGGCTTAATTGATTTTATATAATACCTATGCATGATGGATTAAAGTATTGTTTCGAATGTGACATATTATGATGAAATTTTTAACTAGTTTGTTAGTATTGCGAACAATGCTCGCTGAGAAAGTTTGATATTGTGTTCATTTTTGTCTTACTAGTGTTCAATAATCAAATTCACACCTCTTTTTGCTCGAACTTGTAGCTTCAATATTAGAGATTGATGATTTGTTTCCGATATTCTCTTGACAGTGGGAGCAGTGGTGGCAACAAGACTGTGACAAGAATTCTTTCAGGACAACCTATAGTCTTCAAGACTCTATAACAAGACTGTAAATGAGTGCCATGTTTCTTATTTCCATATACTAGTTTTTTTTATGTGAATTAGGGTGGGTATTTGCAAGGATTCTTGGAATTAGAACTATTGTGACGTCAAACGTTTTTTGTAATTGCAGGAGGTGGAAAACCTTTGTAGGATTCTTTCAAGAACTCTTTGTTATTGTAACAAGAATTTTTTTAAGAAAATAGATGGAAAATAATGCAAAATTTTTGTAAATATCTCTTTAATTTTATTGTATATAATATTTGAATATATATATATATATATATATGAGAATATAAGTTGTTAAAACATTGTAGGCATTTTTTTTCTTTCTTTCGTTCCTTTTTTTTTTTTTTTTGGCAACAGTAACAAAATGGTCGCTAATACATTATAGGCATTTGATTTTACTTTTTTACGACGGCAAAACATCAGTCGCCGTAAGTAGGTTAGGCGATCACAAATAGTTTGCGACTGTTGTTTTGCGGTCTCAAAAAGTATTTGCCACCCCCACATTCGTGACCCCCATTTGCCGTCGCATGGGCTGTCGCAAAATGTTTGTTGCGACTATATTTGTACTATTTGTGATGGCTTGTAGCGGTTGCAAAAAATATTTTAGTAGTGTTGATTTTGTTCATGGATAATTTCCTTAATTGATTGTATTACATGAATGATTTAAATAACCAAAGTGAATTCAAATTAGTCATATAATAAATCAATTTCATCGTGAAGTTGAGATATCCAACTTTAGCAAATCCTTGACTCTCTTGCTGCAGTTGATAATGATCTTACTGAGATCCTTAGGAGTTTAGATATAGGCACTGCAATGATGATTCCTTAGAATATGCATAAGTTGCAATCCCCTTGTTATGAGCTCATGTCATTAGTTAAAATCTAACTACATATTCTAAAGAAAATGGTAAGAATTATCTGAGATATTTGTGGTAGGTAAGCCAAAAAAAAAAAAAAAAGCTTACATTTTCTGAAAATGCTCTGTACCCGAAACATTCAGCTGGCTGAGCTTCTTGGTGATCGGCCGACTGCTTTTGTGGCCAACCAACATTTGGTCCAGAACAGGTCGTTGGGGGGTTTAAAGCTTGATCTTTAGAACTCTTGCCGTGGAACTTGCAAAGATTAACACCTCTCATTTTCATCATCGGGAACTTAAAAGGAAGCGCCCAAGTTTCAAGGCTAGTCAAAAATATGGTGTCTACAGTAATACATACTTCCATTTCCATTTTCATTTTCATCAATATACAACACGGATGGCAAATGATACAAATCCACATAACACTTTATTGGCCTCATCCGGAGGGGAACAACCCCAAGGTCACACTTTACTAGGAGTAAACCGGAAGTAAGAGAAACCTATTACAATGCGCCATGCTTTACCGGCCCCATCCAGAGAGAAACGAACCTCCATTCACACTTTATTGGGTGCTAATCAGAAGGGAGACATGCTTTACCAGCCTTACTCAGCGGGAAACAGATCCCTAAACAACATTACAATAATAGCACAACATGATAAACTACATAAATACTGTACAAGTGTAATACATACACATAACCAATTCAACAACAAGGCCATCCCCCACCAATGACCATGGACAAAACCTCTAACAGATAAATAGAAATACGCGTCTTATAATATAAATCCCTAGCTAATTCTACCTTTTCAAAACAACTATTTCTTATTCATTTCACAAAAGAGCTACACTTGTCATTTTATTTCCAAAAATTAAAATGTTATATCAAATTCTCAACATTTCCAACCCTTAGCCAAAACCCCTTTTCCTTAAACAAGCACAATTCATAAAACATAACTACAATCCAACTCAACGCAAAATTAATCAAATAACCCAATCAATTCTCATTTTAACAACTAAACCACTAGTCCAATTCTTGAACACATAACTCAGTTATTCCACATCTTTACCCCTTTATGATTAATTATGTCCACAATGATGAATTAGGGTTTCTTCCCACTCTCAACATAAACACGTTTAGCTATCTCCCAAATCACCTAAAATGACTAAAAAACATACAACTTAACTTCTGAAATTCAAAACCCTAAACCTCTTTATATGCTTTTTGGAAAATTTCTCAAAAACATGCTTTTAACGTAATAAAAACTACCACATGTATATCTATAATGAAGTATTGAAAAGGAGCAAAGAAATCTTTACCTTTTGAAGTAAAGAAAAGACAACCCAAAAATCACCGGCGACGAAATGACAATCCACTTAGATTAAATAGAAGCCCCGACCAAGCTCTACATTTCGATATAACTAGGGGTATAAAATGGGTAAAAATAGATGAAAACCAAGTTTGAAAGCTTGAAAAGGCCAAAAATGGCAAAAAGGAAGAGAAAGAAAAGAAAATGAATTGAAAAATGAGATATTTTCAATTTTTGGCGCCTTTTATAAAAAAATAGATTGCGGCTGCGAATAGAGAGACAATACGATCGCGAGCATGACCTAGCATGTCACGAGCCACCACCACAGGGCCACATAATCCTTCGCGGGCCACACACCTTCTCTTGGGCCAACAGATCAGAACCCATGTTTTGGTCCCAACCTGGTCGTGGCCCATCGCAGGTGCAACCGCTACCCCTCAACAATCGTAGTTATGAACAAGGTGGTCGTGAGCACGACCTATCTAAGGCAGAACTCCTGGGCTACTATTCTAAAGCCAGCCCGAACATAGCAAAGGTCCAAACCACCTAAAGACAAATAGATACACTCGGACAATCCCGTGCCCCAACAGAAAATAAAATAGGACGAATTTTCTGACCCGGACCACTACAAAACCACATTTGCTCAACATCAACATCAACATCAACATCAACATCATCAAAAAAAAATTTTAAAAAAAAAGAAAAAGAAAAAATTGATTTTGTTGGTGTGAAACTCAGATCTTAGATGATCCAAGTACACACACACACATGGAAATGTATGTATGTATGCATATTGATAAAAAAAAAAAAACATATTTATGTATGCATATTCATGAGCTATATATATATAGAGAGAGAGAGAGAGGGAGAGAGAAAGAGAAATGGTGTAAGAGCCGGATTTGAGGCAATTTTCCATAGGCAATTTCAGGGAAAATGGAGTAGGATCTGAGGCAATTTCCCATAGGTGGTGAAGGACCATGAAGTTGAGGTGGTGATCGAAAAATTAGAGAGCGTGGTGGTAGAGTGAGGGCAGCGCTGCTAGAGGGAGGTCGTGAATCATCGGAGACGATGGCAAGGTAGCGGGAGTTGGACGAGAAAGTAGGTCAGAGATGCCTTGGTTGTGACCTTGGAACTCAACGTAGCCGGAGTCGAGTGAGAAGGTGGTAGTGGACCATGCACGATGATGATGATGATGTTGTGTTAGGGTTTCGCACAAACAACAACTGGTTTAGATCAGAGAAAGAATGAACAAAACAAAGAGGTTGCTCCAGTGGCGGTAGTAGAGAAGGATGAGAGAAATCATTGTCATATGAAACTTAGAAAGAGAGAGAGAGAGAGAGAGAGAAAGTCATATTTGGGAAAAAAACAAATGGATATGCAATCTATATATAACTATTTTGGTCATTTTACTTCAACTTGTCCTTATCAACAAACTAATTTAGCACTTGGATTTTTTGGCAAAATAAAATTCAAAATTGGATTTTTGACCCAAGTGCCCAAAAATGAACAACAATTGTATTTTTAAAAGTTGAATCATATAATTTTTTTATGAAAAAAATGATAAATTGAACAAGTTGCATTTATCAGATCAACCTAATTTTTTTTTATAGAAGAAATACATGAAGTGCTCGACTTAAACGGTTCAGATAACGGGACCCGTTATGGGCCTAACAAGCCTAAACCACCCCCTTCAATTTAGATTTTGGACTATAAAGAATCCTCCTTCTTCATTTTGGGGGATCAACAAGTATTGGGGATGACTCATAAAAAGGAAATGAAGTATATATGGACATAATTTTGAGTTGTCCACGTGGCCTAGATGGTTAGCCAAGGTGCTACATGGGTGATTTGATTGGCCGAGGTGTGGTCAAACCACATCTGAATCTGAGATGTTCAAATGAGGAACTAGAGTCATAGATAATAACAGACTCTCTATTTGGGTAAGGTTGGACTCTTGAGACGGTTGATCTTAATCCAAATAGGAGGAGTCTTGGATAATTGATATCCTTGTAAAGGATATAGTCCCATGAAGTAACACTTAATCATTACAAAAGTAAAGCATCCCTGTGGGTCTAAGGTATGTGATTTATTTTGTGAGCTCTTGATTTGAGTTAATATCTTGTGAAATAAGTTACTAACTTGATTGTCAAAATGCCCTCGGGTGGACGAGTCACCACGGTATTTCTTGTCTTCTTGTGCCCAGGTGCTGGCTGGCATAATCTATTCTTCTGTGTGCTCTCCAGCTGAGTTCCCTAGATCTGGACAAGGAGATTTGTTTGGTTGTGAGATTAAAAATCAACACCCACAAAGTAGAATATATAAGGTTTTGGTTTTTTTTTTTTTTTTTTTAATTGGTTGATCTCTTATGGTGTAACCTTAGAGGATAGTTTTGTTATTTTGTGTAAATTATTTATTGTGTAAAAACTTATTATCTAACACATATTTACCAATTAAGCATGCACATTGGCCAAAGCTAAGGGTGTAAAAATGACCCGTAGCCCGTGGGTGGCCTGCGGCTCGTGAACGGCCCGAAACCCGTTCACGGCCCTAGCTAGGCCGGACCCAGTTAAGCTCGAGCCCAGTCTAGGACCTTAGGTCATCATTTTAAAGCCCGATCCATCAACCCACTCAAAGCTCGGCTCGAGGCCCAGCCCAGCCGACCTACCCATGACCTAGTGTTATTTTTAATGGAAAAGAATAAAATTTTGGCAAAAAAAAATTTAAGAAAAAATGTTCAGGCCCGCCCAGGCCTAGCTCAAGTCCACCGGTGAGCTCAAGGCCCAAATATCCCCTAGGCCTGGGCTCGGGTCTAATTTTCTAACCCCCTGGGTCGGCCTAGCTCGACCTGAATTTTGGCCGGAGCCCAGGCGGCCAAACATAGGCCGGCCCGAACCCGAGCTCAGGTGGGCCAAGCTTGCCCCAACTTACACCCCTAGCCAAAGCTTACCTTTTTTTCCTTGTTAGCCATCGACTCATTTTATTATTTATGCAGTGTAGGGCTTTTATATATATATATATATATATAATTTTTTGACCTATTGTCTTACAACTACAAATTATTTTTCAAATTTAATTAAAATTGTTGATAATATGTTAAAATTGATTTGTAATTATTAATCATTTGCTAAATTTTAATTTTTAGGATAAGTTATATAGTTATTGAGGACTTATTTGATCAAATTTAGTTGAAATTATAGATTAAAAAAATTTTGATCAAAAACTATGTTGTAATTTATCAAATTAATATGGAATCCGATCTATTGATGGGGATGGAGCGGGGGTGTCACGACCCAAACCAGCCCCTATAAGTTTAGCATCATAACCAGCCAGTAATCCTTGAAATACCGAAGGCATCTAAATCGATCATGACATAATAAGAGTCTGTGGAAGCAAATATATAAAAACATACATAATCCATTGAGCTGTGTAGGCATATATGGGACAAAAATTTGAAAACTTATATATAGAATCATGACGTCATACGTATAATAGTCTTACATCACATTCATTACAGATAAAGCAAAAAAAGAACTTAGCCCATTATACAGATAAACCAAAGCTTGTTCATGTATCAAAAGAAAACAAGGTCTTAAATGATCACAAAACATGGCCACAAGACTTAACTTAATCCAAAACCTCCTTGGGAGGCACAAAAGGGTGGCTGACAAACCAAAACTCCAGGTCATCAACTTTGAGCCTGGTCACGCGCCTAGTCACCTACATACATAATATAAATAGAGTGAGAGAAGCCCAGTGAATAACAACAGAATAAAGAATTTAATGAATGATGCCCCGTAGCATATTTCAAATCATAAACAACTTCAGATTTGCATAGTTAACCAGAAATCATAGCAGTTATATATGGTATATCCATTTAGCTATCATATCGTATCAAATTTGCATAGTCGGTACCGACGACCATATAGGTCCACATCTTGTGCACAAGTAGCCATAGTATTGTTACTCCCAGGCGAGGGCCACATGAACATAAGCCTCGGTATTGTTATCCCCGGGCAAGGGCCACCTAGATATGAGCCATAGTATTGTCATCCTTGGGCTAGGGCCACATGCATATTGGCCACGGTATTGTTACCCCTAGGCGAAGGCCACGTGAACTAAGGATGGCACAAATACATTTCAGAGAGATGGACATTTATTCATGATTCTTAAAATAGTAATTCAGAAAACCAATCATTTCATATCATCAAAAAATAATTAAAGTTAAACATAACTCTACAGAGTTATTACTCACAGATGGCTTCAGAGTTGACAGACAAAGCAGGCAAATCAAATCAAATAGCTTACGGCGCATGACCTACACAAACTTAACAGATACAACCTTGAAACACACACCCGGATATAACTTAACTCTTCACATTTCGTTCTTAATGTGTTTCTAAGTTTTATCCTCATTATTATGTCTTAATCTTGGCCTAAGAATGCCTATGATGCAATGAGGATGCCAAAATATGTTGTTCAACACTTAGCCAAACATGCTGAAAACAGGGTCCTCGCTCGAGTGTAGCTTTCTTCGCTCGAGCGAAGGTTCAAAAATGTGAGTGGTCACTCGAGCGTAACTTCCTTCGCTCGAGCGGTCTGTAAACTCTGCAAAAGTATTGGTTATGTGATTTCTTTGCTCGACGGTCACTCGAGCATGTGACTGAGGTCTTCGCTTGAGCGCAACTCTTGTCGCTCGAGTGGTCTACAAAACATGTGAACTTCTGGGAGCATGCAATTTATGCTCAAGTCAACTTTTGGTCACTCGAGTGGAGGTGCAAAACAGAGAGTGGTCGCTCAAGCACAGGTTCTGTCACTCAAGTGGAGAGACATAATCTGGAATTTCCAGATTGCTCTTTCAAGTCCAAACTCAAATTCGAAGCTGCAAATTATGGTCTTTTGGGCCGAAAACTTGAGAAAACACTTGTAAATGTGTAAATCATCGAGAATTGAAGATCATTTCTTGAAATCAAGGTCCAAAAGCACATTAATTGCTCAAAACAAACTCAAATCTTTCAAAACATAACATGCATGAGATGGTTTGGCTTCAAGGCTTCCAACACATGATCAATTGGTATAAAATAATACAGCACAAGATGAATTCTCCAAACAAAGGTGGGATAAGCACATGCATGTGGGAATTCTTTGGAATCAATTCAAAATGCTATGATATATACATGCATGCATGATACACCCCTATATTCATCTATCTAAGTTTGATTCTTGTATTACACAACTCAATTCTTTGGATTCATATGCTAAGTGACTCAATGTCAAAGTTAAAAGGTTGAATTCTTACCTAAGAATCTTGGGTTCACAAGTGTAAAAGCTTAAATCTCCAACTTCACTTCTATTAGCAATTCACTCCTTTCAAGCTCTTGATCTCAATTCTTTCCTTTTCTCTCCCTCTCTCTCTCTCTCTCTATATATATATATGTTTGAGCTCAAGAGTATGTGTGAATGAGAGTGTAAAGTGTATAAGAGGTGATGGGGGTGGCCTTATATAGGCTTGGCTAGAGTTGGCTAATTAAACTTGAATTAGTCTAAGCAATGGTCATTAATTTATTCTAATTATTTTGTTCCGAATAGAATTTCAATTAAACCTACCATAATTTTCCAAAAATTCCAAATAACACAAATATCAGGTTAATTTCATGATCGGATGCCGATAAGGCCTTCAATTCGCAGAACAAAACAAAAATACAAACAGATATTCCTACAGCAGACAAATATAAACATAATTAATGGCATGCGCATGCATTTAATTAAGAATTTCATCTTAATTACTCATTAAGCATAAGTAATCATGGTTTATCAGCTAACCATAGGTTGGGGTTGTTACAGTCTTCCCCCCTTAAAGAGTTTGGTCCTCCAAACTTGAATTACCTTCATTTTGAAAGAACATCAGGTCCAAAGGAAACAAATCAAGGTATCTTCTCATCATATCTTCCTCCGTCTCCGAAGTTGCATAGGTCCCTCCATGGTTTTGCCAATCAACTTTGACCAACGATATTTCTTTGTTCCTCAATCGTTTGATTCTGCGATTCACAATTTGAATTGGCCTATCTTTGTACGCATAGTCATCCTTCAGAAGCACATGAGTTGGCTCAATCGCATGGAATGGATCTCGTAAATATTCCCGAAGCATCGAAACATGAAAAGCATTATGCATATATTCCATGATTGTAGGTAAAGCAACCCGATACGTCCCCGGGTTGATTTTCTCAAGAATCTCATATGGCCCAACATATCTCAGTGCCAATTTGCCTTTCACTCCAAACCGCATTTGCCCTTTCATAGGAGTCACTTTGATGAACACATGAACCCCAACCTCATATTCTCGATCTCTTCTTCGGAAATTCGCATAGCTCTTTTGGCGGCTTTGTGCAGTTTTCAATCTTTGTTGAATCAATTTCACATTTTCCGTCGTCTCATGCACAAGTTCCGGTCCTAACAAAGGTTTGTCACCTAGCTCGGCCCAACAGATCATAGAATGGCATTTTCTCCCATACAAGGCTTCATAAGGAGCCATACCGATACTCAAATAGTAGATGTTGTTATACACAAACTCGGCCAATGGTAAGTAGGTCTCCCAATTGCCTTAGAAATCTAGGGCACACATTCTAAGCATATCTTCTAAAGTCTGTATCATTCTTTTTGATTAGCTCTCTATCTATGGGTGATATGCACTATTCAGTCTTAACTTAGTTCCCAAAGCTTGCTGTAGGCTCTGCTAAAATCTTGAGGTGAACTTACGATCCCTATCAGACACTATAGACACTAGCACACCATGCAATCTCACAATTTCATTCACATACATATTAGTCAACTTATCTGCATTATAAAAAGTTTTGACAGGTAAGAAATGTGTGGATTTAGTCAAACGGTCAACAATTATCCAAATAGAGTCCATACCTTGAGAAAAGTGGGGCAATCTGTAGACGCGCCGTCGGGCTTATGCTTCTACAGTTCGGACTCAAGTGTCACAGTTCTTAATCTGATCTTGCAAAGTGCGATACAAGACTAATAAATCACCAAAGAGTCCAAATCCGACAAATCGTTTTGGAAAACAGATTTTTAAGAAAGAAGTGCCAAACATGGATTGCTTTGCCAGATACAGAGTAGCCACCTAAATATTTTATTTTGGAGAATTTAGGAAACCCTGACTCGTTGCCTAAGGCCACGTGTCCGTCATCACCAAAGTTGCCTCGGCTCGGGAACTTGGGTACGATTGGGGAAGGTCATCTATGAGCACCCTCGCTCGCCCGATCCGAAGATCGGCCACTACTAAACATGATATTGAGTTTTTGAAAACACATGCGTTCTTATTCCGGTTAATTAGCTAATCTTTACTACGTGATGCGTACAGCAAAACAAATATAGACTAGATCATCTAATTTGGAACAAAGCATCGCATATCCGTTTGTTTGGAAAATGGTTTGAAGTTTGTTACTCGCGAGTAGGCTAAAACACGGATTTCAATGAATTATTCCAATCCAAGCAATCCAACCTTCACCTACAGGCATTCAGGCAGTTATATCACATAAGCAATTAGCCTCATGGTAAGCATGCTGTCATGTTAATACTCACACACATGCAAGATGCTAAAGCATAAACACTCACAGTGTACTCCGAGCCAAAACAAGGAACATGTTAGTAATCAATGTATGATCCAAGTCCATGTTAAGATGGCTAATGCAATCACAGGCAAAGTGCAACTAGACTAGGCTCGGATAATCTAGGAATGGCATGTGAGATGCGACAATTCGATACATGTATTCAAGTTGGAATTGAAATACTTATACAATTAGTATGATGCGCCAAGCCCGGTGCATGCAATACAGATGAATGATGCAAACATGCGAGCATAGGAATGCTAATTGAAATATGGCCTAGAACTAACCAACAAAAGCAGGTAAGTAAAAGAAGAAAGAAATGGAGGTTGGAAGACATGCACACACGCACGCACGCACACTTATTACAACAATTGGCTCTCTCGAGGGAGAGACCGAAAGAATAATACAAATTTAACTAATTAACTAACTAACAAGCTAATTAATTATTACATAACACTTAACTAATTAAACAAATCAATTAAGTTACTAAAGCAGTAAAGCAACCTCGGGAAAAGAGACAAATGCATGTATGCTCAAAAATCGATCGCCACGCCATATGTTGCCTTTGTTTGCACCGCTCGGCACCTTTGAAAACTGCACAAGTCTCAAGGATGCATCTGAACCACTCCCTGAGCACTATGGGAGGTCATCGACCATTTGTGAGGCTCTCGGCCAACAATGCATAGCGGCTGACACTGAAGATGGCTGACCGGCCATCTCTTCCTGCAGAATGCTGTTTTACTGCAGCAGAGGACAAATAGAGCATGGCAATGCATTTACAATACAATGTTTGCACAACCATCCTCCCTATCATGTCATGAGCTCAAGGGAGTATGGTTCTCGACTCTCGGGACATCAATCACGCATTCCAATGCATGATGGCCAAAGGAGCCAAGTGTGCAATTCAATATCAAACAAAATGCACAAAAAACACATAAGAGACCCCAACCTCTATCATGCTTGTTCAAGAGGTAAGGGATGCAAACATGAAAGCAAAACTAATGCACCATGAACATGTTAAGGACAATGCCATACAAGGCTAATGGTAATAAGCATGCCAAATACAATGCAACCTAGACAAGCATGCAAACATACAAGGCATGTGACAACATTCAAGGGTAGGCAAGCATGTAACAACATGTGAGGCAAGCATGCAACAACATGCAAAGGACAATATATGCAAACATGCAAAGCAACATAGCAAAAGAGGCATGCCAAATGCGATATAACTCAAGCATGCAACAACATGCAATAGGCCACGTATGCAACAACATGCAAGGCAAGCATGCAACAACATGCGATAATGGTCTTAAACCAAAATGGACGGCTCTCGGATAGGTCCAAATCAGTGGCCAAACATGATGAAAACAAGGCCCCAAAAAACACACAAGCATGCACAATACGAGGGCTCCAAGCCTAAGGCACAAAATGCAACTTTACAAAAGCATTGAATGGATGAAATATGGCATACAATGACACATGTTTCAGCTCTGAAATGACATACAAAATAGCTCCGAATCATGCAAACAACTCACACAATGCATGTGGAAAGGCCTAAATATCGAAGCTAGCGAAGCACATTACACTAGAGGCATGCAAGGCAATGCTCAAATGACAAAACCAACTACAAACAGACCCTATGCAGGCCCAAAACAGTGGCAAAATGAGCCAAGATGGTGGCTTGAAAGGCATAAGAATGAAGCTCAATGCAAAGGCTCATGAATAGGGTGTAATGACGCAACTCTCAAACGCATTAAAGAGTGACAAACATGAGAATATGGCCAAGTAATATGCACTGAAATCATGGTAGGAATGATGCTAAATCATGTCAAAGGCCCAAACAATGCATGCTATTGGACCCGATATACAAAGCTAGTAAGCTTGATTGAACCATGACCATATACAACAATGCATGCATGACCCAAAACACTTCAAAAAGAGCTAAGGCACCCCAAAATATGAATAAAATTAGTTTGGATCATGGCCAAAATGTGCTAGCAAAGAGGGCCAAAACAACATGCATTGTGAGCTAGTGAACATAAGTTACACTACAAGCATATGAAGCATATGAAGGACTACCTATAGACGTCCCCGAACGCCCCAGGAGGAACGAGTCCCGTTCTGTTCATTTGGGGTCATTACAGCTCGGACTCTCAAATTGTCACGGTTCTAAATCTGAACCAAAGAGTCCAAATCCGACAAATCGTTTTGAGAAAACAGATTTTTGAAAGAAGTCCAAACATGGACTACTTTGCCAGATACAGAGTTGCCACCTAAATGTTTGATGTTTGAGGAAAATTAGCGAAACCCTGACGTGCGTTTGCCTAGGCCACGTGTCCGTCATCTACCAAAGTTGTCTCGCTCGTGAACTTGGTGTGGTACGATTGGGAAAGGTCACTTTCGGCTGTGCAGACCCCTGTCGTGCCCGATCAAGCATCGGCCTCTACAACCAATGATATGTACTTTTCAAACAATTATGCGTTTCTTATTCGGTTATTAGCCTAGATTTACTACTTGTGATGCTGCGCCAGCATGACAAATAGACTGGATGTCTTGAATTTGGAACAAAACATTTCTGTTTATTATTTTTCTTAAAGTGGTTTGATGTGCTACCCGCAAGTAGGCTAAACATGGATTTAGCACCTCAGGGTGGCGCTTAGAAAAACATGATTTTTGCCACTATCTAGTGGGCTTTGAAACACAATTTGAGAATTTGTCCAATTCAATAATCCCAACCTTCACCACAGCATTCCAGCAGTTATATCACATAAGTTATAGCCCTCATGGTAAGCATGCTATTCATGCAGTCACTCAGCGATGCAAGGATGGTAAAAGGCGATAAGACTTACACCGAGAGTACCTCTCAGGCCCAAATAGATAAGCTAATTAGAACTCATGCATGAGTCCTATTATACGTGGAATGACTCTAAATGCAAACACGCAACAAGAGGTGCAACATATACAATGACAAGCGGCTCATGCGTATTACTAAACATGGTAATATGACAATGGCTACAGCTAACAGTGTAGTCAAACTTGGAAATTTGAAAATAATACAACAGTTAGTATGATGCGCCGAGGCCCGGTGCATCGCAAACGATGAAATGAAATGCAAAGCATGCTATCATACTGGTATGTTGTATTTGAAACATTGCCCTAATCTAAAATCAATATAAGCGGCGTAAATAATAAAAGCGAGTGACAAGAACGCGGGTTGGAAGACAATGCTTACAGTTCGCAACACGTACACTTTACTTACAACATTGCCCGTCGTCGCAGACCGCGGTTACACCGAATTATATATACAATCCACAATGATATAATTACAGGTGAACCAAAAATTAATGTAACAAAATCTTATTAATTAAACATTTAAATTAGGTAAAGTCGATATAATTTGGCATGATCAAGCCACGGGACTCCTCAACTCTGCTCGGATGATAATGGATGCTCTTGTTGAGTTGCTATTGTGCGGAAAACTTCCTGCTGCGATGCCCATTAGCCTCTGTTTGCGATTATTCTTTGGGCTGGCGTGCAAGCTTCGAAAGGCTATGATTCTTGATTGACTGTAACAGAGAGCAAGAAGGGACATGGCAAATTCAGTTATTTCATCATGATGTATGCATGAGCTCTATTCAGGGAGTGATAAGTCTCGGTCCTCAGCCACCAA